TGATGTTAAAAACATGGTTGCAGCACTAAAAATTTGTAATGCAGTTAAAAATAGTTAAAAAATCATCATATGAGCAGAAAATATTTTGGAACCGATGGGGTTCGTGGCAAGGTCGGGGGCGATCGTAGTGTTTTAACACCTGAGTTTGCAATGCGTTTAGGTTACGCGGCAGGGAATGTTTTGGTCAAACATGCCAAGGAAAATGTACAAAGCGGTGCAACGGTTCATCCCGCGGTGCTAATTGGTAAAGATACCCGTATTTCAGGATACATGCTTGAATCAGCAATGGAAGCAGGTTTTTCTGCAGCTGGGGTTGATGTTTTATTATGCGGTCCGATTCCGACTCCCGCGGTGGCTTACTTGACTCGTACTTTTAGGGTCTCTGCGGGCGTAGTGATTTCTGCTTCTCATAATCCTTATGATGATAATGGCATTAAGTTTTTTTCACACCTTGGTGATAAATTGTCTGATGAGATCGAACTCGAAATTGAGGCCGAATTAGATGCGATTGCTACTCAAGGGATGCGCTGCGTGGAGTCCAAACAGCTTGGTAAAGCTAAACGTGTTGAGGATGCGGCAGGTCGCTATATCGAATTTTGTAAAAGCACCTTTCCTAATGGCTTAGATCTACATGGTTTACGCATTGTGGTTGATTGTGCGCATGGCGCAGCCTATCAGGTTGCTCCTAATGTCTTTAAAGAACTGGGTGCACAGGTGACGACTATCGGCAATACACCCGATGGCGTCAATATTAATGATGGGTTTGGCGCAACCCATCCTCAGCGGTTGATTGAGGCTGTCCAACAACAGCAAGTGGATTTGGGTTTGGCATTAGATGGTGATGCAGATCGTTTGCTAGTGGTTGATAAGACTGGACGTTTGTATAGTGGTGATGAGTTGATTTATGTCTTAGCAAAAGATCGTTTAGCGCAAGGTGTGACAGCTCAAGCTTTAGGGGGGGTGGTTGGAACGCTGATGACCAATATTGCTATCGAACATGCGATTCGTGATTTACACTTAAAATTTGTTCGAGCTAATGTTGGTGATCGTTATGTTCTTGAAAAGTTGCGTGAAAATGAGTGGCTGATTGGCGGGGAAGGCTCTGGACATATTTTGTGTCTCGATAAACATTCCACAGGCGATGGCATCATTGCTGCTTTACAAGTGTTAGCGGCGATGAAACGGCAAAATCAAACGTTAGCGCAGCTACTCGATGGGGTTGAGTTATTTCCGCAGCTACTGCACAATATTCGTTTGCAACCTGGTGAAAATTGGGAAGCTAATCAACCCTTACAAGCAATGATCAAAACACTACAAGAAAAAGTAGCAGGCAATGGGCGGATTTTGGTGAGAAAATCTGGTACGGAACCCGTGGTGCGAGTGATGGTTGAAGCACCCAATTTAGAACAGATTAAACCCTTGTTGACGGTGGTTTGAAGTTGTTTTAAGGTTGGGTTTTATTGTTTTTATTTGTTTTATCTGATTTTTTTGGTGGTGGCCGATTCTTGTGGTTCTTTGCCAAACTTTCGCCATGTCTTAGCCGTCGTTTCGCGTGGTCATCCTATTAGGAATTGGAATTATTCGATACCTTGCTATGGGGTGACCGTGAGAGTAGCTTCACGGCTAATTTCAGAACCATTGCCATCTTGGTTGGTGATTTTGACTGAAAATTTAGCGCCATTGTCACTTAACGCCACACCATATATTTCAAATGGGTTAAAAGTTCGTCCTGGAATATCAACGCCATTGCGTCGCCATTGGTAGCGAACATTGTTGCCAACGGTTTTGACTTCGAAAATGGCACTCTTGCCAACGGTAACCGACAGATCTTTAGGTTGTTCGATAATCATGGTGTCTGTCTCATCATCACTGCTGCAACTGCTCAAAGATAGACTGCCTAGATAGACAACTAGGGCACATAAAACAAGGCGATAGAGAGGGGTTTGGTAGGAGCGATGTTTAATCATGGAGATATTAATTGGCTTAAGGTCGGTAGGTATCCCAATGGTTGCAGCCTGGGCATTGCCAATAAAAGTGGCGTACTCGAAAGCCACAATTTTGGCATGTGTAGCGAGGTTGACTGGCGATATTTTGTGCAATAGCCTTAGCAATAATGCCTAGAGCATGAGGCGATAGACTTTGATCGTGATGATGGTATGCCTGCAATAAATAACGACTATTAATTAAGTCAGGATACTGCTCTTGAGCACGGCTTAAGGTATCAAGATAGGTTTGCGTTGGCAGAATCTTTTCGGCTTGAGAGTATAGAATTTCAGCAACTTCGGGATTGGGGTTGGCGAGCAAGAGTTGGTGAATTTCTTTAAGTACGTTGGTTTCTTGTCCTAAATGTTTGGCACAGGTGAGCATCAGTGGAGTGCTCACTGCTAACCAAGATTTTTCTTGAGTCTGCATGGCGCGTAATTCATCGAGCGCTTGATCGTAAGCTTCTTGGGCGATATGACACTGTGCCAATAAAATCTGACTTCTAGGATGGTTAGGCAAAATGGCTCGTGCACGATTGACCCACTGGATTGCCTGCTCAATAGGTTGGTGTTGTTGTAAAGCTGTTTGGGCTAATTCACAATAAAAGTGCGCTAAGCGGTTTTGAATGGCCGTGTCATGAGAGAGGTTGGGCGCTTTTGCAATATCAATAGCTTTGAGCCAGTCTTTTTGAAGCTCATACAAATCAATGAGATGGTTTTGTACGGTGCGTTGGTATTCCGGATTTTTTTCCAAACTTAAAAAAGCTTTTTCTGCGCCATCAAACATGCCAGCTTTCAGAAAATCTAATCCCAACTCAAATTGAGCCTGCGCTTGGATTGGCGCTTTAACATCGGGTCGCTGAGCAAGATTCTGATGAACCCGAATAGCTCGATAAGTTTCGCCACGGCGACGAAACAAACTCCCCAAAGCAAAGTGAAGATCCGTTGTTTCGGGGTCGAGTGCAGCCGCTTCTACAAAAGCATCGATGGCTGCATCATGATTCTCAGATAAAAGGTGATTCAAACCTTTCACATAGGAATGTGAGGCCTCTGAGTTGGGCTGTGCTTTTCCTTTCTGTTCGGCCCGCGCTGCAAACCAGCCAAGGCCGAAAATGAAAGGAATCACAAAAAACCACCAAACTTCTATCATCATAAAGGAGAGCTAATTTTATTATTTTGTTGAATATAAGTGTGAAATTTTCTATAGCTATTTTTTGCCTTGATTAGCAACCGAGGCAACTGCTTTTGCAATCGCTTCTTGATCTCCCAAATAATAATGACGAATTGGTTTGAGGTCTTCATCTAACTCATAGACCAAGGGCGTACCGTTGGGGATATTTAGTCCGACAATGTCTTGGTCGCTGATTTGGTCGAGATGTTTAATGAGTGCACGCAAAGAATTGCCATGCGCGCAAATAACAATTCGTTTGCCCATTTTGATGGCCGGTGCAATGGATTCATTCCAAAGAGGCATGACTCTAGCAACGGTATCTTTGAGGCATTCGGTCAGAGGAATATCTTGCTTAGCGACCTTGGCATAGCGCGGATCATCAAACGAAGTGCGCTCATCGGTAGCGTCTAAGGCTGGTGGTGGCGTGTCATAGCTGCGACGCCAGATTAATACTTGATCTTCACCATATTTTTCAACGGTATCTGCTTTGTTTAAGCCTGCTAAAGCACCATAATGCCGTTCGTTTAATCGCCAAGCGTGGACAGTTGGAATCCACATCAAATCCATCGCATCTTGAACATACCATAAGGTTCGAATCGCACGTTTAAGAACCGACGTATAAGCAATATCAAAGTTAAATCCATTTTCAAGCAAAATTTCGCCTGCTTGTTGTGCTTGGATAATACCCGTTGGCGTTAAATCGACATCCACCCAACCTGTAAAGCGATTCTCAAGATTCCATGTTGATTCGCCATGCCGAATCAAAACCAGTTTATACATTTTTACTCCTAAAATAACCTTTTGTTCAGAAAGCATTATATAATTTAACCTGTTTTTATGCTGTAAAGCGCCTCAACAGGGTTCGAAGATGAGTCGTTGTTCGCCTCTTATTGTTAAATCTATTTAAATTCATATGGCTTTTTTTGCGGATTTTACCAATTTGTTTTTGTTACTGATGATTGTTGTCTCAGGTAGCCTATTGTTTGCGCCGATGCTAAAAAAAGCTGAAGGTAATCAAATCTCTACGCTAGAGACCACTCAATTAATTAACCGTCATCAGGCTTATATTTGGGATATTCGTCCCCGTGATGCTTTTGAGCAAGGGACGCTCATGAAGGCAAGAAATATCCCTGTTGAGCAACTGTCCGAACATGCAGCAAAAGCTAATCTCAAAAAAGACAAGCCTTTGATTATTGTGAGCCAAGATGGAGTTCGCTTAATCTCAGTGGTCAAACAACTCCAAGCTCAAGGATTTGAAAATGTGCGCATTTTGACTGGAGGGATGGATGCTTGGTTGGCAGCGGGTTTGCCCGTGGTTAAAGATGTTGCCCGTAAATCATGATGGTTATCGCTTAATATATGATTGGATTGACGGAGTTTTTCAATGACTGAGAAGATTTTTGAATAGGATAGATGATGGCGGCCGTAAAAATGTATACAACGAATTTTTGCCCATTTTGCAAGCGAGCCGAGATGTTGCTTAAGCTCAAGGGTGTTACCAATATTCAAAAAATCAATATTGATGCCGAGCCACATTTACGTGAAGAAATGATGACGATCACGGGGCGGCGCACCGTGCCACAGATTTTTATTGGCCAAACCCATGTGGGTGGCTTTGACGACTTATCTGCTTTGGATAAAGCAGGTGGATTGGCCGCTCTGCTAGAGCAGGCCTAAGAAACGCTGATCATTGGATTTGACGAGTCAAGTTCAGGGAAAAACGGTACGGAGCCCTTCAAATCTATCTAATTGATAGACAAATGCAGGTGCAGCCCGACAACGAAAATTGGCGTAAAATCGAATTTATTTGGGTTTTCAAACTTTTTATTGAATAAATGGGACTTAATATGAGTGATACTGATCAAAACAACGAACCTTCTTTTAATATTCAACGTATTTACCTGAAAGACTTATCGCTTGAGATTCCTCATGCGCCGCAAATTTTCTTAGAGCGTGAACAAGCTGAAGTCGAAATTAGCATTGACATTGACGCAACCCGTTTGCAAGAAGAAATCTACGAAATTGTCTTGACAGGAACGATCACCAATAAATTGGCAGATGGCAAAGTTGTGTTTTTGATTGAAGCGCAGCAAGCAGGTATTTTTGAGTTGTCAAATATTCCTGAAGA